TAGAGTAATATAAACCAGAAATAATTTCCTTTATAAATTGGTTTGCCATTCCTATACAGAAATATGAAACAAATCTCTAGTAGAGAAATTTTGTTCTTCTTTCTTTGAATCCCGATACTAATTTTTTCTGCCTATTGGTCTGTTTACAATATTTCTTTTGGAAGTTTGTGTGCTGCTTTCCTCAGTTGTTCAATAAATCTGTTTTTCCCAGGTTAACATTTTGGTCAAATTCTCAACAACTCTGGAAATGGAAATAACTTCATTGGTTTTGGTAAAGCTATGGCAATTGACACACATTAGGATTTCATTCTGCTCTTTAAAGAAGAATAAAAGCACAAGAAAAAGTAGAGTATTTCAAACTACATCCTGCCTGTTTACTTCAGGATCCAGTAAATTCCAGCAAAAGTATCGCTGTAAGAGAGGGTCATAGATTATAATTTTCCTTTTTTAAAAAAGCTCTGAAAATACTGCCTTAGTTTACCATTTTGAGAACTGCATTTGCTATTTTTAGTCTTCTATCTACTACAAGTGTGTTACAGACCTCTATTAGCATATGATATTATTCAGAGTCTCTGAGCTGAGTATTTTACTAAGACTGAGATATCACTTGTCCAGCAGTTGCTCCTATGATAACCATTTTATGGTCTCAGGATTTCCAACTTTTATACATCAGTATGACATCTTCACATTTTTTACTGCTTAAGTTTTTGTGTTTGGCACTGGTTTAGATGTTAACAACCTACCTCTCAATGCACAAAAATTGTATCCCTAATTGTATTTTTTTTCCCTGTTGGATATTTGTTTCTGTGGCATAAAAAAATCACAAATAATATTTACAGAGAGTGCCTAATGACATATATAGATCAGGACATATTTTGCTAAACAAACTTCAGCGCTGACTAGTTCTGGCTCTTTTTTTGTGTGTTTTATTAATGTCCTTTACATTTCGAATCTCCTGTGATTCAGCTGCTTACTAATCCGGGAGAATATACTCTGAAAGACCTTTTCACTAATTATTGTACACTGCATCCTGAGGGGTGTCGTTTGGGGGTAAATGATCAAAGCTAACCATCTGTGCCCTACAAAGGATCTTTTTCCTGTGTACTTCCTCTTTACTTTACTGACTATGCCTTTAACTCATTAATTTTGCCACTACCAAAACTTGGGGCTTCTCTGTTTATCAATCACAGTGTTTGTTAAGCAAATGCAGCATTAATGTCATATATGCTTGCATCAGGATAACATTAAGTTGACCCTTCATGATTTAATAAGTGATTGATACCTTGAAAAGACTGACATTATATGGAAGGATGTAAAAAGAAAGAAGCATGTATTAGCTTTCTTTTCTGGCTGGATTTTGCCAGCAGGTAAAAAATGCGTAAGAGAGATCCTGAATTGACAGGCAAGAGGTAAGTCTAACCGATGGAGTAAGCAACATGTTTGATGTCCTGGTCTCTCAATCATGTAAATAGGGAGCTGGCACCCCTATTTCAAGCAGAGCTATTAATGGAAGAGGCCTGTGGTCATGGAGTATGCATTGTTCTGAGACTGTGACTGACAAATTAGTGAAAACAGATGGACTAAAAGGAAAGCTCTTAATTCACAATATTCATACTTATATTCAACTAGTAATATTTATCCCTAAACACTGCAGCACTTCTGTTGGGTTTCACTGCTACTGTGACTGTAAGGTTCTTTGGAAAGGTATAAAATCATTCTTTGCACCAAGGACAAACTTCTCAGGCCTATAGCCAAGTATAGGACACATCTTCATAAAGCAGTGGTATGAGCCCCAGGTCTCAAGCATGTTTTGCAAAAAAAGGTCAAAGGAAATATTTAACTTCTTATATTTCAAATTCTGATGTTTAAGGAATTGAGCGGAATAGCAATGACTCTGTGACCTTTTGGCAAAATTTTCAAACAGGCATTGCAAATTATACTTTCTGGCATAAATGCCAGTTAGCAAGAGCATATAGGAGAAGGAAGTCCTATCGGATGAACGTCAAAAGCAAATCAACAAGTATTTAAGCAAACCAAGAACACATAAATGCATAAGTGATTAAACCGAGAGTTTCCTGCCATGCTGATTACTGAGAATACTCTTTTGAAGGTCAACACTACTCACATACAAGCAGAATAAGCTAGGTAGACTAGTACTTGACAGGAGAGTCGCCACTATACAATAAAAACAAGGAAAGCTGTTCTTGGGGGGAGGGGGGTGAAAGGGAATTAATCAAATAGGAATAATATTTAAAGAATGCCCAGTTTTAAAATAGCTGCTGCAAAAATGCTTTAGCCTGCCTAACTCTAGCTAAATACAAAACTTCTGAGAAAGCACTTTAGCTTTGCAGAATAAAGGCTTGAAGACATAACAATCTAAGGTGTGTTTTGGCTCTCATCCAGGCAAGCACTCAAGCATGTGATTCAGTTTAACATTCAGTAATTCCACTGACTTCCTTTCTGGATCAGTAAGTACAAGCTAGACAGAAACTTGGAAAGCTTGCTCTTTGCCTTCAAACCTTGAGGAGGAGAGCTGCTGGTAACACCTGATGGAGCTTGAGGGCTAATTTTTAGGCTTCTATGCAAAGGTGGGTAGGAAGGGAGAAGAGGAACTAAAATGGCTGTGCAATCATAATGGATTCAGGCACCATGATAACAAAGAATCAACTTTTTAATGGTTGCTGCATCAAACGTTGTTCAAAACAGAACTTACCAGAGCTGTAAAATATGTTTCTTCCATAGATGGGAATAATCTGTAGAAACTGGGAAAGGATTTAAGGCCCTAGTACTAGATCCCATCATACAAAAATATTACTTTCTGTTGATATTGGTAACACACAAATGAAATTACTCTCAAGGTGTGTTTAGAGGGTTGCACCTATAGGTAGCATCTGTTACAGAGTTTCTTACTGTCTCAGAGTACATTAATGTGGTTCTCTGTTTTTATCTCTGAATTCTACCCCATCAGCATAAATACATTCTGACACTAATTCACATTCAGGTTTTTTTTTTGTTTGTTTGCCTTTGGTTGTTCCCTCTAAACTGTCTAGAAGAACTTAGGAATGAAAAAGCAGAGATCCTTCAGTGAGTCTTCTCCTTTGACTTGCAGTGTTTTCCAGCATTTACTCCATAACAAGGCACTAAGAATACGTCTTTCCTCTAAAACTTACTTACAATCCATGAAAATTTGATTTCAAAATTACTTATTTAAGGGCTCAATACTGAAACATCTATCTAGTTCAGAAGTATTGCTTTCTTTATGGGCTCCATTCCTTTTTTAGTCACTTCCATTAGTTTATGGAATCTTTACTCTCCATGGCTTCTCTCCTGAAAAAAAAATCTTTTAAAAAAAAAAAAAGCTTTTTTTTAACAAGACTAGAATACAAATGGGAAAAACATCTGATTTTCTTCCCAATCTTATAGATTCTGACATGAAAAATGTTCTCTATGCTTCTGAGCATAGAGAAGGAGCTAAAATATTATGCACAATACACAGCCTTAAATAGATGCAGCTACTTGACGATTTGTCCCCTTAAAAGGGATTGCCCTAGCACAAGAGGACAGAACAATTAATTAGTGGAGCCAACAGAGAACAGCAGAACAGGAGCTGTAGGATGAGATTTCGTGTTGAGGAAGCAGAGTTCTCTAAAGGAGGCTATAATTATTATGGCAAAGGAGACACTGAAGGAGAAGAATTGCAGAAACATCACAAATGAATCAGCTCTGCACGATGTAGGCAGTACTTGAATATGCATCTGAAAAAAACACTTTATGCCTGAGATGTTGCTCAATAAAACGTCCAAGGACTAGAGACAGCTGGAGGTGATGGTACAATTTTAGAGGGAAATTTGCAGTAGTAACAGAGAAAAGAAGAGAATATTTACAGCCCTTTATTGCACAAGAAGTAAAAGAGTTGAGGACACACATCTGTAGAACAGGGCAGAAGTAGAGGCTGACTAAAATAGGATGTGCAAGAACAGGTATATCGCAGAATGAAGAGAATGAAGACGAGAAATGGGCAGAAACAAAACATTACGTGGCAACAAATAAGGGAAGAGCAACACATCAAACACACAAAAAAGAGAGGGAAACCAAGAAGCCAAGGATGAACAAAAATGGAATACAGGGTGTCCTAAGAGAGAACCGTCTGAGGAGGATGATTTACTTACAGGAGTAAGGAATGGAAGGACTAGTGATGCCTATCAGCACCGCTGAACCTAGCCAGAAAGCCCAGAGGCAAAAGGAGAAAGGACCGATCAAGAAAAAAGCTGTGTGCTAGAGGTTAAGAAGTTAGGGATAAATTGAGAGTATCCAAAAATTAAGCATGTTAGATTTTGGGTTTGGGGTTTTTTTTTTGAGGGGGAGGTTTTTTTTCAAATAGTGAAAGATTCTTCAGACATTCCAGGATTCTGAAAGAAACGGACATAAAGTTCTGGCAGGGGAACATATTATTGAAGGATGAGCCACCAGCGTGATACAGTCATGAAGAAAACACTGGCACAAGCCATTTCCCTATTTCCCATGGAAGGGGAAAATATTAGTACCAGTTTCTAAATCCTTTGTGAGATCTCAGTATATTGTATGCTTCTGGTCACTTGTTTGGAAGAAAAATGAAGCAGATGAGGACTGCTAGGAAGATCATGGAAATGGAGGCAAATGTCTTCAAGAGATTGCATTGCATAATTGTAGTGGGTTGGCCCTGGCTGGCAGCTAAGCTGCCACCCAGTCACTTGCTCACTCCCCACCCCAGCCAGACAGGAGAAAGAACTGGAAGGGTAAAAGTGAGAAAAACTCAGGGATTGAGATAAAGACAGTTTAATAAGTAAAGAAAAAAAAAGACCAAAAAACCCCCCAAATAATGCAAAAGGAAACACTCATCAGCTCCCACCAGCAGACCGATGCCCAGGCAGTCTTCGAGCAAAGGTTACCTTTGAAAAACTACCCCCCTCCTTTTAATGCTGGGTATGATGTTATATGGTGTGATGTATCTCTCTGCTCAGTTTGGGTCAGCTGTCCTGGCCATGTCATCTCTCAACCTCTTGTGCACCCCCAGCCTACTTGTTGGGGGTGATAGCGGAGAGCAGAGTGAGAAAAAGAGACGGCCTTGCAAGCACTGTTCAGCAACAGCTAAAACATTGGTGAGTTATTAACACTGTTTCAGTCACAAATCTAAAACATAGCACCATACCACCTACTACAAAGAAAATTAACTCCATCCCGACTAGACCTAGTACAATACTCTAGCAAAATGGAGGCTGAGACAAGACTGCTATCTACTTACTTATCAAAGAGGGACCCCAATGAAGGAAAGAGCTGTTTTAGGCTGAAGAACAGTATTGAAAGCATATGCACACATAAACAAGCAATGGTCAAGGATTTGTAAGTTCAGGATCTAAATTCTCTAACTAAGAATAAAAATGCAGTTCAAAATAAGCAACAAAAAATAGTGGACCTTTGCAGGTAAAACCAGCTTGCACAGGAACTAAACTTTCTTAGTTATAAATATCACATATCAAGGATTCACTGAGAAATTTATAAGCAAATCTTAATAAAGACATTTAGATATATGGTATGTAGGGAGAGACATGTAATTTTAGCTTTCAGTACTTTCCTTCACATGTAACTTAAATACTGCAGAGATATATGAATATTTTCTTTTGACCTAGATTATAGTTTTTGTGACAGCCAAACCAGCAAAATCAGCAACTGTTTCTGCCTTATTAAAGAAAAGTTTTGTCATTTGCTTATACATTTCCTTCCTTAAACAGAAAACAGTACCACTGTGGCGCAGATTTTACTCAGTGGTAACTGCTCTTGAAGTGCTTAATTTTTACATCATTATAAGAAAACAGCATTCTTTTTCCAAACAGATTATTGTGTATTTCATAATTCTCAACTGCATTTTGCAATAACATATATTCACTTACAAAGGCTTTAATCCTTAACCTAGAGTTGCAGGTTATCAGGACATAAGCTACAGATAAAAGTATCTATGTATTTAAATATGAGCTGCTCCCTTGTCCAAAGTTCAAGCTTCCATAAAACAGTAGTAAGTATCACAGACGTAATGAAGACAGAGAGGAATTGGTTAATGATTAAACAGAATAAGAAATGAAAAACTGGCACTAGCCAAAGGAAATTTTTTAATTACAACGTGTGACAAGAATAATTTGTCAAAGCATGTAAGTGAACTAACGTTCCTTGTGTTGTTGAATAACAGTTTGGATGAAATAATTAAGAAATTCAAGTAGAAAATGGCCCTGAATTGCTGAAAGGAATGTGTGAGGCGATCTACTGGATGTTAAGAACCACTTTATCTATAAACAAATGGAATACTCTTTAAAGCATGCATGTAGTATATTTTTTATATATTTGCAAGCAGTACAGGTTCTCTATTACTTCTAAAAATGAAGCTTTTATTTTAAATTAGCAATGATTATTTCATTACAATAAAATAGTTACCTACCATATTTAAGAAAACCAAAGACCAAGACAACTTCATTAATCATTAAGAACACAGTGTTCCATTGTCATCACAGTGAACAATTATTAAAAAAAGGAAACAAATGACAAACTAATGATAACCCTGGCCCATTATTCATTAGGTACGTAATGTATTATTTTCCTTACCTTGAACACTTTGTTCTACAGCATAGATTTGACAACGCATTTGGACTGGAACTCTCCCTCAAATCAGCTTTTTAAGGCCCCATTATACTAATTATGAAACACAAAGCTGGTAAGTGCTTATGGACCCAACATAAGTCTTTCATATTTTCATTTGTAGCCACCTCATCTCATTTGATAAAAACTGGCTTATAAAATGATCAAAATGTTTACCTACTGTGAAATGTTTCTAATACATTTCAAATAATTTTGTTAAAACATGTTTTAAAAAAATTAAACATGAGATTAAAACATGTTTTCTTCAGCTGTGTCCAACAAATCAGATTTTAAATTTCTTTAAATGTACTTTGAGTTTCCCCGTAAGGCTACATTTGAACTTCAATTAAATAGCAATTAAAAAAAAAGCCAAAACCCAAAATAGGATATTTTTTAAGGATTGGCTAATCAAATCAAAACAGTTAGTATGCAGATTTAAAAAAACAAACAAACAAAATAAACACCCAACCCAAACAAAAACAACACCATGACAAATTTCAGATCAAATTGTGGAAAGATTAGTGTCTTTCTGTCATACTATAACAAAACGATTTAGCTCTTTTGACCACAATATTTCTTTCCCATTACATTCTTGTATGTTTGGAAAATATTTATTGTATTTATATACATAATATTTTGGTTTTAATACTCACATATTTTCGATTTCCATTTGTTGTGGAAACAGTGACAGCTTGAGTCTTGTATTTAGACACACTTTGGGTAACAATAACACAGCATGTTCCATACTGAAATAGTTCAGAAGATGGATGAGATATTACTTGCTCTGGCCTTACTTTAATTTAGATTATCTATTTATCATTCACTTACATACTTCTTATTTAACAGCTTTTGGACACATGGGTGATAAAAGGGTCTGGCACTGCTTTTCATTATTGAGTGTGGAATTTATGTAGTGATTAGGTTACTATGCTATTTCGGCTATATCTTTGGGTTTTGGAAACAAAATAATTGGAAACAAAATTATTGCAACATATTTAAAACATTTTCTATTTAAGAGAGTAACAAATATTTGTTACAAATACTCTTCAGAAGTCCCCTGTGACACATGTAAATATTAGTCTCCTGGCTTTGCCAGTAGATGCTTTAATAACAGTTAGGTGGCTTTCAGCAAGTTAGCTGCAAACCTGACAATGTATGGATTGACCTCCCATTTTCATATTTTTACCACTGTACAGTGCTAGCTCTTGTTTTATTATGTTCTCTGGTCCATTTTTAAATATTCACTTGCAAGTTAGTATGTAAATAAACTACTGCTAAAAACCATTGTTTGAGTCAGTTAATAAAAAAGTGTTGCGCATATGATAAGAAATAAAACCTTGGATCAAAAGCACAGTTGCAGATAATTAACCTAGCTCTGTGAAGGAACCGTATCAGCTTAAATCAAAGGGCTTGTGACTTTGGAACAAAGGTTCCCAGGCTGTGCACGGTGAAACATTTGCTGGTGGTCAATGCACAGCTCTCACCCCCTCCTTATTTCCAGTTGCCAGACTCCACTGACAGAATTCTTAAATGCATCACTTCCCACTAATAGATATACATACACTATGTAAAAAAGTATATATACCATATCTAAATACTATATTTAAGATCTATACACATATATATAGCATTTGATGTATTCGATGCAGAATTTCATATATATGCAAACACAACATTGTAAGTAATGTTACAGCTGTCGGTAATTCATAGAATTTGGGTGGCAAAAGGTAGCTAGGGAGAGATGGATGGAAAACAAAACAAAAGTGCTTTAATATTGCAGTCTGCAGTATGAACACATAAATAAATAGGGAGCCCAGGATGAGTTCAGATTTTTGCAGTGTGTCTTCACCATCTGATTTTCTACCAACTGTTTTCTAAAGTGATTATATATTTCTGCAAGCTACAAATCAGTTGGTCTTTCAATCTAGACACAACAGGTAGTCTTATCTTGATTGGATGTCTTGTCAAATTAGTTAATTAAGTCAGTACTAATGCAAAATTCTGTGAAATCAGATTGTGACAAGCTATCATCTTGGTTGTGTCTTTCAGAAAACACACCTGAAAAGTATTTGTCTGCAATATCAGCTGTATCTTCTCCTGAACAGCCATTTCTTTTGCCTTTTAAAGAATGAGATGGGACTAATCATCTTCTTCCTATGGTAACTACAAAGTCAATGTTAATTAGATAATAAATACAAATTATTTATTTTTACTATTACAGCTGTTACTTGCCTCCAGTCACTTTAGAGAGTGGATCCTCTCCTGCCATGATATGCAGTCCCCCATGGCTTCACAGGCCACGGTCCCTTACTTTATTCTGTCTTTGACCAGGCTCAGTCTGGTCAAGAATGCATCTTGGCCCTAATCTCCGTGATAACCCTCAAGTTGTTGGAATTGTTGCATTTAAAGACCTCCATCAATTGCCATATGTCTTTGCAATGAAAAAACACCACATGTGAACATTTTTAAATATGTATGCTGAATTATGTATGTGAGACGCCTCCTTCCATTCTCACTCCAGTTTTCTGTCTTAGAAAACTGGCCCTGCTTCTAGGGCCTACATGCGCCACTTGTTTTCTCCTTGTGCCCCTTCAGTCAAATCTCCTTGCTAAGATCTGATATTTCTTCTCTCTCTCTCCCCCTGGCAAAAACATGGTAAGTAAGTGTCCTCTGATTCTCGTTATAAACCCCGTTTTTTCCCTTTCCCAAAAATCTTGTAATTTTTGAGCCTTTGGTTAAGGCTTAAATGTTTAACAACTGCTTGTTTTAAACCAACTTCCCAAAACAATTGGTCTGTCTTTCTCTACATTGTCGTATATTATTTATAGTACAGCAGTACTGAAAGGCATGCAAATTAAGGATCCAAGTGGGGACACATTAAAACAATTCACATTCCAAAAATCTTCCAAAGAGAAGGAAATCTTCTTTCCACCCTTTAGTGGTTCACTTTGAGCAAAATCTTATCCATAATAGGAGGAAGCTTTCCTGTACGCAAAAAATTACATCTAAAATGACAAATGATATTTCTACAGGGCTTAAGGTAGAAATTCCATAGTAGCAGGGGGGGAAATTTTCAGTATAAGAGACTTTGAAATTTGTGATTTTTTTGTAGGCTTTAAAAGAATTATAAGTATTTTACATTAAGTAGTTGAACCTTTCTCTTGCATTATGTTCTATAAAACTGGTCTTTTTAAAAAACACATTGACTCTTTATACAGTGTGTGACTCTGAGATACAGTTTTAATGTATCTATATGATTTTAAGATTTGTCGAATATACTTGCCCCACACATTTACTATTTGTATATATATACATAAACAATGTATCTGTAGTATCTTAATAACGTCTGACTCTTTTCAGCATAAACGTTGTGTATACCCACTGTTTAGCCTAATGGTCACTGGTTTTCTTCTGTTCTAGTGCTTATGTACCAAAGACAGCAGCAGGTCATTGCAAGTGGGCGGAAGTTCTGAAAGATTTGGAGCAGATCAAGACATCCAAAGTAAGTTCATAGGAAAGTCAGCATTTCATATAATCATAGGAGCAGACATAATTAAATATTTAGCACTGTACTCAGCTAATAAGTGTCAGTGACAGGGAGCCGGAAAAGGGATGGTGTTTGTATAATGCTGTTTCATGGGTGGAAGCAAAGGAATAGAAGGTTAAAGGGAATTGGAGTTGACCAAATACTTCAGACTCTAAAATTAAATATTATTTTCTTTCTCACTTTTTCTAAGAAAAGGGGCAGTGGGCTTGGGAGTTAGCTCCTTTGGAGGAAGTATTATGGGATTCAATTCTGATGAGTCCTCCTCACAGTGAAGCCCATCCTGCAGGTTTCTAGGTAACTTCAAGATCCCATGACTTGCTGCCTCCCAGTACCTAGATGGATTGAGCCTTTGAACTTGGAGCTAATCCATGTCTTGCAGAGTTAGCTTTATTATCTCTAAATTTCTTAGTTAACATTCATAATTCTAACTCTTGTTTTCTTTTAGGACATTGATGTCAGTTTATATACTGCAAACACAGATGAGGATGTAAGTAAACTTAAAATTTGACCAAAACTGGTCTAATATGGTAGCTTCATTTCTTCATTGGCAACTTTCTCCTAAGGCAGCCTTGGTCTAATTTGAGAAAAGTTTCAGAAATCAGGTAGTTTGCCTTGGAAGGAACAGTTCTGTTAGTTCAAGTACTTATGATAAATTATGTAAGCAGGTATTAATTATTTTTATTGAATCACCAGCTATTAAAATTAATCAATTAAAAAGGATGATCCAAAATGGTCTTATCAAAGCAAACACTGCTAAAATAATGTTGGTATTCATTTGTAATTTGAGGAAGGAAAAAAGTGACAAAGAAAATACTTCCAAAGCTATTTAATGGAATAAAATACCAAAGAAGTGGAACATGGAGAGTAACTGTTAGCATCTACCTGTGCGTTTCTCTGCTTTTGCCATGTGCACACACATTCTTTTAACTGAACTGAGCCAGAGAGGTTAATCTATTGTAAGGGCTGATTTAATACCTGGCAATGTCAGGAAGATTTTCTTGAAGTGGGACAGTCTGATATGAAAGTCAGACAATCTGGGATTTATTCTTGGCTTTATTGTTGACTTAATGGAGAAATCAGTACCTCTGCTTCTTTTTCTTTAATTTGTGAAATACAGGTAATACCTACTTTCTCTTCTCCCCTACCTATTTTGAATTCAGATCTCTGAATGAAAGTGCTATAGAACTACTAAGAATAATACTAATTTAATTCCACTATGTTTAATTATACCCCAAATTCCTACACTAATTAGTTATTTTTCTATGTTCTTCATCAAGACACTGTGTTTCACATCATCTTAGCAAATTGGCTGGCCTTTATGTTGTTAGCTCTTACAGCCAATCTTTGCAGATATTTAAAAGTATTTGAATAGTAAGAAGGGATATGTAGTATATAAAAATCAGCTACTTTGTGGTAAATTATATCTTACATTCACTTATTCCTTTTTAATCGTAAAACAATTACAACTTCATTTTTTTCAGAAAGAATGCCAAGAACCTGTAATGAGATGCTTTTTGTTAGAGACGAAAGTGATTCTTCAGGAATGTCTTATCAAAAATTGTAGTAAAACACAGGATGTATTGAACATATGGAAAAATGGAAACGCAAGCTTAGAAAATAACAAAGTAAGTAACACCAACAGTCTGTGGAAAAAAGGCAAATCAAAAGAATTTCTTCAGTAGCAGAAATACCTCTTTTGTTATATGTAAGGTGGGACGGTACAGATAAAAGCAAATGAGATCCAGTAACCTGTACATATAACAATGAAAAAGCTACACATACAATGATGAAAAAGCAGAATTTAGTGTTTTTTAGAAAAACACTTTCAGGATTCCCATCAAAGCAAATACTTTTGACTGTGCATGCATACATATGTCAGGGTGTTTGAATGTGTATGTATAAATAACAGTTTGTAACTTCAGTATCTCAAATCAGGTATGCTCAGACACATACAGAAAGGTATCCTAATTTTCAAAGGGATAGCCACTTGCATCTCTCATTGAAGTGCTGTATCTTTGAAAGCTGATCCTTCTCAGAAAGCAAGCCAGGAACTGCGCAGAAGTACCGTGGAAGCCTCCAGCAATGCTTTCTGTAGCCATTGACTGCATTGGAATTATTCACAAAAACAGGACAAACAAGGGTTAGTTCTCTATCAGAACAAATAGATCAGTATCCTGCTTTACTATTGCATTTTCTTTTTCAGTTGAATTCCACAACATCAGCAAAATGCAAAGAATGCGAAGAGTATGAAGAAAAAAATTTTACAGAATTTATAGAGAGTTTTGTAAAGGTTATACAGAAGGAATGCAAGCACTGACCAAAAGACACAAGCGGGGAACCAAGATTCTTTCACAAACTTCCTCAGAGAAATTAGATTATTGCCAACAATAAACTGGAAAGAACATCACTTACAATCCTACTTACATAGCATAACACATAAACAAAGAATAATAAATAAAATCCCTGTCATTCACAATGTATTCATAACTGAATACATACAAATTATATTACTTATGAAATATAAATGAAAGGAATTTAACAGGGTTTAAAGCTTCTTCTTGATGTAAAGTGTCTTTATTTTTTGGTAAGTCCATCTTAGGAAAAGAAATCCTGCCTAACTTACCAACCTTTCAACAAAATTCTTTAAGAGGATCTCAGGATATCTGCAGTGGGAACCTCCTCATGAACATCAGTTCAGGGCTAACTGAATGGGGTTTCAGAGAAAAGCTCTTCTATTATTATTACTAATATAAAATTATTATACCCTGTTAAAGCCTTTGGCTATAGCTATTTTTGTTATCTGAAATCTATCCCTTTACCATCTGTGCTCCTAGAAGATCCTAGCTCATCTCTCACTTCTCTTGTTAGTCATGTCTGACAGTTTTCCTTGCTTTTTTTTTTCTCACTACATTCCTTCAATGAACTAGTGTCAAAACACAAGCTGAGGCTTATTTGTCTTAAAGGTCTATGGGCTATCTCTTATATATTTATTTCTACTATGGTTTTCAGGTAAACCCAATTACTTGTCTTACTTAAGAATTCAAAGTAAAAAATTAGAATATTTATTTAGAGATTGTTCCTTGACTTTTTTTCCCTTTTGTACAATGGTAGCGTAAGGGTATTAAAAATTATCTCCAGTCTTCTCAACAGACAGTAATGCTGGTGCTTGGTTCCACTGTCCAACGACAGAACATGCTTTGTTAACTCATTTGTTACCTCTGACACTACCTTAGTCATTATGGTAATTACTACAGTTCCTTTAGCAATTACCAAAGATTTAAATCTAAACTTCAACCGAAGAAAAGTACCGTAAATTTCATTCTCTGAATAAAACAGGTGACCAAGTCTCTTACACACACAAAAAAAATTCTATGCGGTAGAAATCTTTCCTATGTAGTAGAGTTTGTAACTTTGGTCTCCTTTTGGGATAAGAACTTTGAAGGCAGGAATCACTTTTGACCAGTTATTGGAAATCATGATAACTGTATTTCTAAGACTCAATGCAAAGTCACCTGTCCCCTGGTAGTTCTGAAATGTTGCATAGTCTTCTTTCAGTTCTTTCTAAAGTAACCGCTTTCTTCATAATTCATAACCATGTCATACCAAATGCTATCCATAATAAGTAATTCTTTCCTCCAGGCGCCTCCATTTCCCTATCTTCATTTGATAAATGGCTGAGTCATTCAGCTGTCCACTTACCAGGAAGGAAGTCTCAATCTCATTATGGCAACAAATACACTGTCTCGTACTCCCTTATTGTTGGGTTACTCCCAAGAGTCAATCTTCAGCACTCTGAGGAGCTGAATCTCCAGTAAACTGTAAGAGAAAGAACACAAATGTGAGCACAGTGGATGTCATCTTCCAGGTGACTTATAGACTAACTGATTGGTAAATTCATAAGCACATTGATATCAGGATTAAATAATAGCAGAGGTATCACAGGAAAAATAAATTATTTGTGACTGCAAAACATCAATGAAAGAAGTGTTTATTACATAGTTTGGATGAAGTAAACTGGTCCTACATCTTAAATCTTTCCTTAAAACAATGCTATGCATTGAATATGATTTTCTCTTACTTGATGTCACATGCATAGGCATGTAATACCTAGGTAAGGTAACACCGAGTTACAACTGTGTTCTTTAATCAAAAAGATAAAAGGATTTTCCTTATTTCTAGCTTTGAGGAAGCTTGAGACACAGTCCAGCAATATTCATGATGAGAGAAACAAACAGCTCCTTTGCTTAGATAGTTTTCTTTATCTTGGCCATTGTGAAAAACAGTTACCTGATCAATTTTATTCTGTTTTTCATTAAATCATTTACCAGTGGCAAGTATGTTAAATACTGTGAATTTGTCTTCCAAAAGAATATTGCTAAGTCTTTGACCACTCAGATTGTCACCCTGTTAGCCACTTTCTGTTGGACATTGGCCATATCTCTTTTATTTCATTTCACCTCCACCTGTTCCAGATGCATATTCTAAAACCAAAAAAGGCCATTTGCTAATCTAGTTCTCCAATATTTCTCCTGGGGTTTTCCTTTTCCTGAGAGCTAAGCTGCCAGTTGAAAGCTTTACTACATCCTGAATCCTATGGTTATAAGAAATTATCTGATCAGTATAGAAGATGGACTAAATTAAGGCCAGGTTGGTATTTTTTTTAGTGAGGGAATTCGTACATGTCCCAGAGGAAAAGATTCAATATGACTAAGACATGCATGAATCTGATCTGACTTGGTACTGCAGGCAGAGCAGTAAAAACTAATTCAGGGTGCCTACTTCTGAAGTAAACATCCCTATGTTGAGGAAAGTATTTCTTCTACACAAGGTCTAGTCATTTGTGTGGCATTTAGTATCTAATCTTTTCCGACTACTGTTGGTAAATATTAAGAAAAAGATTAATATTATATTTTCTCCAATTAATCCAATTCAGTTTGGGACTAAGGTGACTCATAGCAGAGTTTTTCTATGTTCAGAAAGAAAAATAACTACCTTTTGACACCAGAAGAGAAGAATAATGCTATTCCACAGAAGTTTTGGACTACATAATTCTTTTATATTTAAAATAATTTAAAATCTATTTTTCCTTTCCCTGTATTCAGTATCCATATTTCTGTCTACATTTTAACAGGATAATGCAAGTAGCACTAGTGCAGATGATGTCTGACATCCTCTGCCTTCTTGTTGTTTTATTAGACCCTGAAGATAAATATTGGTTGCTTATCAATAGAACGTTCCCTCCAGTGGCTCCGAACATTCGAGCACCTGTTGATCAGGCACTGTGCAGATAATTCCACAGGAGACGCTTGAAAGTCCTCACAGTTTAAAGTCAGTTCTGGATCAGCATCAGTATATTTATACCTCCCTCTTAAAACACATAAGAGAATTTAACGAATAATTTCTGCAGTCCAGATTTTCTTTTAAGCAGTCCATCTATGCTGCATGTTCAACAGATTTCAGTTTCTGCAATGTCCGACTGTCTTTTACAATTACAGGGCACAGCATGTCTTATCAATTTCATTTCCCTAGCAGACATTTGGACCTTAAAAATCGCACCTGACAGTTTCCCCACAATTTTTTAAGTCAGTTCAATTTCTGACCACGGTTATACAGTGATTTAATTAAGCTAGTAATATGGCATTATCACTGTTGAGTACACTGAAGGAGTATTCTCCTCTGATAACCAAAGTAAGTTTTTACATCTGAGTGGCCCTCCTTAGGCATTTACCCATATGGATGCATAAGTCTGTAATAATTAATCACTGACCAGAGGTAGTGGTCCATTTGTCCCTTCTTTAACCAAGGAGATGCTGTTTTTATGGCCAAGATGCCTTCAGTGGGAAGCCAGCCGCCGTGGGAACCTTAAGAGCAAGCAAAGGGCAGGCTAATAGAGTACCGCAGGTCTATAGCTGATGGTCTGTTTTGCCCAGACAGAAGCAGATGACTCCTCATTTGACTTGAGTGATGGTATGAGTGGTTTCACCTTTTTCTCCATTCAAATCCCCTTTTAAGGGATTGGTATAAGTGTTCACTGATGCTAGTTCATTTGGAAATGAGAACTTTGTGAAAGCCAGAATCATTAATGCTAGTGGAAAAAGGCAAATTCTGAACTGCAACTCTCTGTCTTGTTGGGAGCTTCACTGTTTTGGGGAAAAGATTAAAAAAAAGGGATTCTTTGCCTGCAGTGAAGTAGCTGGGGGCTCAGCAGCAATTTCAAATTATCCATCTTGTTCATATGGCTGTGTGACAAAAATAACAGAAACATACTTTAGGAACCATTCCAGCTCCGTGTGGCAAAAGCTCAGAGAAACAATGAACATTTGAGTCAGTCAGCCCAAGGTACAGTGGTAACACTTACAAAGGAGGACAAACAGTGTATTTGCTATATATATATATCAACAGGCATTCTCTACAGCTAAAGAAGTGCTTCAACTGCTTTAGCCCCTCAATCAAGGGTCCAGATTCAAAGTTTAATAGAAGCCAAGGAGGGTAGCTACTCTAGAAGCCAGTACAGCGTATGTTGATTTAATCCCCTGAAAGCAACAGCCTGCTCTTTCTTGTTTTTCCTGCTGCAGCTTTCTGAACAGGCCCAACAGAGATTTCAACGGAGATTCAGTTTTTTTTCATAAGTCTAGTTCAGTACCTGAAAAATAGCGATATTGTTACATGCCTTAACAGAAAATGTCATTGAGTTACCATTGCCTGCACGTTTTGCCAGTTACATTTCTGAGTACCAAAGAACTGTTCTATTTTTCAGTACTTCTGTCTCTAAGTAGGAATACGAGACATGCAGGTGCAGCAGATCATAGGGATTGACGTGGCTACACTGGCGCAACAATGCTAACCTCCTATCACACCAGAGGAACAGCGAATGTTTCCAGAAGTATCATCTATTTTGTAAAGCAAGGTAAAGGACATTTGCATTTACACGGAAAACTACTGCCCAGTAGGTCATGGCCTCCAGGTAAACCGACTAGGAGAGAGGCATGTTGCAAAGTAGCTCTCCTATGACACACAGCACTAGATAATCACATCACTACCCATTCAAAGTACGTAAATTACATGCACAATTTTTAGTCAACTCATTTGCCTAGGGAGCTGCATCACAGATATTGTGGTTCTACTGCCCACTAAACCCAAACTAAGTGCTCTGTCATCCTTGTGAATCT